CTCTCCCAAAAACTGCACCCAGAAGCTTCTCTTTACATCTCATTACCCAGAATATGTATTATGGGTTATCCCTAGGTGAAGAGAGGTTTAGAAATAAATTTTCTTTAGCTGGGCAAACATCATTACCCAAACAACATCAGAGTAGTCATATTAAGAAGAAAAGGAGAAGTGATTGTATCTAAAGAAGTGATAGTCTCCTAAGCAGTAAGTTCTCCTAAATTATTTTATTTTGTTGTTTGAAGTGAAAACTAATCTTATATAAAACATCAATATCTAAGGTCCTGCCACAAATTTTACATACAGGAAGGTATGAATTTATTTTTATGTGAAATCTGCAGAAGGGCTAACATATTTTGGGGCTGCGTATGAGTTGGACACAAATAACACACTAGGCATGGTTCAAAGTCGAGAAAATGGTACTTTTATAATATTACATCTGGGTTTAAATGCACATTTGCCTATTTTCTTTTGTAGGAATTTAGTTTTTGCTAAAAAAGGATGAATAGTTGGGGTTATTTTTTTCATTTTTTCATTTATTAAGCACTTTTCTACTAGGCACTGTAGGTGAAACAAAAACTAATCATACACAAATTCAGCCATTTCCATTGTCAGTCACCCAGAAGGGAGAGTACATATGTAAGTGTCTGTAATACACAGTAGAATGTACTGTGATGAGACATACGGATAATTTTTCTAAGCATTCAGAAGAGGAAAAGATTATTTCTGCCAGAAAGAATTGAGTAAATAGGATCTGGGAGCCTAAACATATGTTTTCGTTTTAAGAATTTGCTTTCACAACTAGTGAGTGACATAAGTCTGGAAAAATATGTTGAAAAAATGTGTAAGCAACTACCATTCACAAAGGATTACTGATAGGTAGACTTTCCTGTCGTCCCATCCTTTAGTTTCTCAGTAGAACTGAGGTAGATAGAGGTTTGGGAAGAAATGGAACATTTGCTGAGTGCTTGCTGTGTGCCTAGGTCTTTGCTTTATTTCAGAAATCTTTACTGAATGCCTAGGCAAAGGTTACCTACATGATCTTCATTTAACTTCCAAAAATCCAATGAAGTAAGTGATTTTTTTTTAATTAAGCTACTCATCTTCTTTTTTTTTTT